CCCGCTCCACCGGGCCCGGGGCCTGTCCGGGTGCTGAGGCCTGGGGCGGTGCCCACAGCCTGGTCCCCCCACCCCGCCAGGTGCGGGTGCGGCAGAGGGGACCCCAGGATTGCTGCCACTCTTGCAAAACTGGGGGGGCTGCGGAGGGGCTGCAGGCTGCCGGCGGAGAGCGGTGGGGGCCTCCTGCAGAGGGCAGGGTCCTGGGCTGCCTGGCACCCCACTCCAGCGCAAACCACACCCCCGGGGGTCCAGCCAGGCGGCGGGGCAGACCGTGCCTCCCAGGGGCCACTGGCCTCTGCGGCGCCCGGGGCGGCACCAGCCCCCTGCTGCCTCTGAAGCCCTGACTGGCGGCTCCCAGGAGACCAGGAGAGAGGGGCCGCCTTGCCCAGGAGGACGAGGCTGGGCACAGAGCCAGCGGGGCAGGCGGGGAGACCCAGGCCCCGGGGCGCAGGCCAGCGCCAGCTCTGTGCCAGGGCCTCGCTGAGGAGGCCCGTGAGTGACCGGGGCCATCTCTGCGAAGGCCACGCCCCACACGGCGGGCTCAGAGCACCGTCCCTCCGCGGTGGACGGGCCCCCGCAGGCACGGGCTACCCAAGGCGGGGGCTGGTCTGACACTGGCACCAGGGCCCAGGGCTGGAGGCTGTGTTGGGGGTCAGGAGGGTGAGCTGGCCAGATCCCCACCCACACAGGCCTCTCGCAAGTAGGGTGCCTGCCAGCATCCCATCACCCAGAAAGCAGAAGTGAGTCGTTCGGCCCCTCCCTGCCGAGCCTGACACCCCGGGGGAGGGAGAAAGACCCCAGGACAGGGGGAGGCAGAGGGACAGCAGGTCCCAGCCCCAGGTGGGCACCCCTCTGCACACAGGCCAGACACCCACACGAACCCTACCGGACACGGGGTGGGCCCCAAAGTCAGGGTGAGGCCAGCTCTCCGCTGCGTCTGTGGACGCCAGGGTGGGGATGTGGTGTCCCCCGCTGCCGTCCCAGGCCCGTCCGGCCCCTCCCAGGCAGGCCCCCCTAGAAAAAGGGGCTGCCGGCCAGACGGTGCAGGCAGGGCGGGGAGAGGGCAGCTCGGGGCTGGGGTCAGCGGCACAGCGGGACACACACAGGCCCTGGGAAACTGAGGGCGAGGTCGGGACGGCCCCCGCGAACCAGGGGACCGGGAAGACCCGCGGCCAAGAGGACGAGCAAATACCCCGTTTGGCAGGCCCACCCGCCGAGCCCATGGGCACAGTGACCGCTCGGCCCCAGGCTGACGCTGACCAGAGCCCTGACCGCACCAGCACCGCGCCCGGCTGACCCCTGGCCCAGCCAGCCGGCACCAGCCGCTTGCACTAGCCCCGCTTGCCCCAGCATCCGCAGGGCACCCCGCAGGGCACCCCACAGCGGGGCGGGCCAGGGAGAGCCGGGAGAGTGAGCCGAGGCGCCCGGCCTGGGCGCCCTACCGGCCTCCTCATACCCAGGCTCCCCACGCCTCTGCCCGTTGGGCCCCGACACAGAGCCAGAGTCACAGCCGAGCCAGCTGACCGGGAGCCCGAGGGGACAGTGAGAGGGGCGTGCGCCCAGCCTCTGGGCTGCCCTGGCCAGTGCCGCTGGCCACCCTGGGCGGCACCTTTCCTGCCCCACCCGAGGCCTCGTGGGGGTCTCTGGCCTGGACGCAGCCCCTGAGGGCACCCAACCCCTCCAGCGCCGGGGCCCGCAGTTCGCCTGGGAGGAGGCTGGGCCTGCTGCCCCCGCCCTCCCTCCTGGCCCGGAGCTCCTGGCCGAGGGCTGCCCAGAGCTTGGGGCTCCGCAGGGCGCTGCTGGCCCCGACACAGGCCACATTCCTGGCAGGGCAGCCTCCTGCCACCCCCGGCACTGGAGCGAGGCCCCTGGCGGACCCGCCCCCCCTCCGGCTGGCATCACTGGGCCACACAGCCCGGGCTCCAGCCGCCCCACAGGAGGCCCAGGGCCTGCCTGCGCCTTCCGTCCTCAGGCCCCGGCGCAGCGTGACTCGGCCCGGGCAGCCCAGGGCCCCGGCCAGCAGCGTCTGCAGGACACAGGCCGCCCACAGCACACGCCTGCCCCACGCCCCGCCGCGCTCGGAGAACACCGTCCCCAGCGGGAGGTCCAGGGCGGACGGCGAAGGCCTGTCCGCAGGGCCAGGCCACGCGCTGCTCGGGGCCGCTCAGAACACTGGCCCCTCAGAGGCCCCGGAGCCCTCAGCCCAGCCAGCACAAGCCCGGCTTTGTCCCGGCGGCCTCTGCCCAGCCCAGCGTCCATCTTGTCCGGAGGCCAGGGCGGCCAGCTCGGTGGCCAGCAGCCCTGGGGCGAGGCTTGTGGCGGTGCGGCCGTCCCAGGCCAGGACCCAGCCCTGGGCCAGGCTGCCCTCCATCCACCGCCCCCGGGCGCCCAGGCCTGTCCGAGAGGCTTCCCGCAGCACCCGGCCCCGGTAGACCACAAGACCGCCGGAGCCGCACCGCCCCCACGGCCCCGGTCCCTGTCCCCCGCCGGACGGCCAGACGCCCCAACCTGACCCCCGGACGCGTGGGGCCCTGGCCAGCAGTACAGGACCGAGCACCGGGAGCCTGGGGCCGCTCCCGACTCACTCACGGTAGGCACGAGCCAGTGTCCACTGCAGGAGGAGCCCCCAAGGCCCAGCCCCACGCACTGCAGGACCTCAGCCCGGTCACTGCCGGCCAGCTGCTGGGGGCAGGGGCTGGCAGACTCTGCCTCTGGGACAAGGCCCACCCGGCCCTCCCAGGGGAGCTGCCCCCGGATGCCCCGTCCACACAGCAGCCCAGCGCGAGGCCCCCGCGAGGGCGGGGACGCCTCCGGCCACCCCAGGCAGCCCCGTCCCGAACAGTCGCGGCCGACCCCAGCATGCACGGGCTGCGCGGTGAGCGGTCCTCGCCCCACGGCCGCTGGCCCCCGGGCAGGGGGCCACCGCTGCCAGGACCCCCGGGGTACAGCCACCACGGCCGCATCGCCCCCACCGTGCGCTCGCCGGGACCTGCGGGACACCACCCGGGGCCCGGCCAGGCGCGCTCTGGCCTCCACCCTCGCCATCTGGCCCCGCCTGCCCAGCGCCCCCCCACAGGCGCCGCCAGGGGTGCAGGTGGGCCTGCGAAGCCTTCCCTGGCTCAGAGCCCGGCCCGGGGCCAGCACACCTGGGGCGGCCCTGGCGCCTCCACCCCACCCCTCGGAGATCCCTGGGGGGCCCGCAGGGACCCACTGCTCTCAGCCAGGAGGGGCAGATGGGGCAGCGCGGGGTTGGGGCGTGGGCTTCCTGCCTACCCCGGCCCCTGCACGGGCCCCGCGCCCTCGGACCCCGAGAGCCAGCCCCGCAGAGCAGCCAAGCGGGCCAGGCCCACTGCCCTCAGAGCCGCCTGGAGCTGTTTCCTGGCCTGGAAATGGGGCGCCACAGACCCAGGCGGGAGGGGAGCTCTCAAAGGGTGAGGCCAGGGCTCCCCCCAGGACGCTGCTCGCCTGCCGACCCCCACCCCACTGGCTGCGGCCGGGCACTGGCTCAGGCGTTGCCCCCGCCCGCCCTTACCGGGACCCAACCGCTCCTCACCGGCTCCTCCAGGCGAGACTTGGGGCCCCCCAGCTCCGGGGCCCTCTCACGTGCCCCACCCCCGTTCCACCCCCCCGTGAGCCCACCTACAGGTCAGAGATCCAGCAGCAGCCCAGAGCGTCCGCGGGCAGACGGGACAGCAGGTCGCGGCCACGGCCCCCAGCCCACCAGGAGCTCAGACTCCGCCGGAGGGGCAGGGCCAGGTCCCAGACACAGACGAAGCCCTAGACCCCCAGCTGGACTCGTGGGTGGTGGACCCCGGGCCTGGGGCCTGTGCCGGGGGGCAGCGCCCGGGCGGGCAGCGGCTGGGGAGCCTGGACCAGCAGGCGAGAGGCCAGGCTGCTCCCCGGCCCTCTGCGCAGGACGTGGGCAGGAGGACTGGGGGCCGGGAGAGTGGCTGCCCCGCAGGTCAGGTGTGGGGGGCGCGGGGTTCAGCGCACAGCCCTCCTCGAGGTCCCCCACAGAAGGCCAGCCCAGACGAGGCCGGCCGGGCCGCCAGGGACACGGCGCTCCACGCTGGGCCGTCCTCGCGCTCCGCCAGCCTCAGGGGACCGCCCGGAGCTGCCCCCCGCGGGATAGCGAGGCGCCCACCCGCCCCGCCCCGGGTCTGCAGGCCCGGCCTGCGCGAGTGGGGGCTCCCCGCCGCCGTGCCCAGCCCGGGGCGCCCGTCAGGGTGCGAGGGGCCCGCCGACCTGGGCGCAGGCCCCCGCCCCCGCGCGCCCCGCCTGCGCCCCGGCCCTGGGGAGGCCCCGCCGCCCGCGCCGCCCGCGCCTGCTCCGGGGCTGACCGCGCGCGGCCGGCGGGGACAGTCGGGGCGGCGGCGCCCCGGGAGGAGAAAGGAAATGGCCGGGGCCGCCCCGGGGGTCCGCGCCGGCCGGGAGGACGCGGGCCCGGGGAGCCCCTCCCGCGCCAGGGGTCCCGGCGGGCCCCGCCCGGCCGCCCTCCCGGCCCGCAGCCGAGCGCCGAGGCGCTGTCCAGCCCGGGCGGCCGGGGCGGCGGGCGAGGGGCGCCCGGGGGCCGCGGGGCAGACGCCGCCCGCCCCCCGCGCCCGCCCCCGCGCCCGCCCCCCGCGCCCCGCCCCCGCCCGCGCCCGCGCCCCGCGCCCCGCGCCCGCCCCGCACAATGGGCCGCGCGCACAATGGGCCGCGCGCACCTGCCGCCGCCGCCGGCCGAGCCGCGTGTCCTTGGCGCGCCGGCCCCGCCTGCGGCCTGCAGGCCCCGCCAGCCCGCGGCCCCCATTGTTCGCCCGCGCCCGCCGGCCCGCGCCCGGCCCCCGCGCCCCGGCCCCCCAGGACCCCCGGCCCCCCCGGCCCCGCGCCCCCGGCCCCGGCCCCCCCGGCGCCCCAGCACCCCCGGCGCCCCAGCACCCCCGGCCCCGGCCCCCCCGGCGCCCCAGCACCCCGGCCCCCGCCCCCGGCGCCCCCGCGCCCCGGCCCCGCGCACGCACCTGTCTGCCCCTTGCCCAGCGTCTTCTCCAGCCGGTAGGGCCCCACATACTGCGCGTGCTGCGCCCCGCCGCCGTCCTTGCCCGTCGATGTCATCGCTCCGAGGCGGGCCCCGGGCGGGGCGGCGGCAGGAGGGCGCGTCCGCGAGCCCGTCCGCCCGTCCGCCCGTCCGCCCGTCCGCCCGTCCGTCCGCCGGGCCGGTCGGCGGCGCCGCGGCCGCGCGCGCCCCCCGCGCCCCCCGCGCCCCCCGCGCCGCCGCCCCCCGCGCCCGCTCGGGATCGGCCCGGCCGGGCGATGCCTCCGCCGCGCCGCGAGCTCAGGGCGGGCGGGGGCACCAGGCTTCCGCCGCCGCCGCCGAGGCCCGCGCCCCGCGCCCCGCGCCCCCAGCGCACGCCCGTCTGCCCGCGGCCGCGCAGCCGAGCCGAGCCGAGCCGAGCCGCCGAGCCGAGCCGAGCCGAGCCGAGCCGAGCCGCCGAGCCGAGCCGAGCCGAGCCGCCGAGCCGAGCCGAGCCGAGCCGAGCCGCCGAGCCGAGCCGAGCCGCCGAGCCGCCGAGCCGAGCCGAGCCGAGCCGCCGAGCCGAGCCGAGCCGAGCAGAGCCGAGCCGAGCCGAGCCGCCGAGTCGAGCCGAGCCGAGCCGCCGAGTCGAGCCGAGCCGAGCAGAGGCGAGCCGAGCCGAGCCGCGCCGCGCCGCGCCGCGCCGCGCCGAGCCCCAGCGAACGCAAGCGGCTGCAGCGGCGGTGGCCAGTGGCTCCCGGGCCCGCCAGTCAGCGCTCTGGCCAATCAGCAGCGGCCTCGCCCCGCCCCCGCCCCGCCCCGCCCCGCCCGGGCCTGTCCCGCGGCCGCCTACGCCCGGGAGCGCGGCTCCGGGAGGCCGGGCGGGGCCGGGCGGGGCCGGGCGGGGCCGGGCGGGGCGGGGCGGGCGGGGCCGGGCGGGGCGGGGCCGGGCCCGGCGGGGCGGGGCGGGGCCGGGCGGGGCGGGGCGGGGCGGGGCCGGGCGGGCGTCCCCATCCCGGGGCGCATCCCCGCACGCCGCGGCCGCGGGGCCTGGCGCGGGGCGGGGCGGGGCGGGGCGGGGCGGGGCGGGGGCGGGCGTGGGCCCGGGGCCGTGCCCGGCCGGCGGGGGGTGCGGACCCCGGGGGCGGCCTGCGGGGGCGCGCGGGCTCCCTGGGCCCCGGCGGGGCGGGCCGCCTCCTCCTGCGGGCGCGGCGCTGGGCCGCGGGCTCTCGGTCCGGCCCGAGGCGCGTCCGCGGGGCGCAGGGCCGGCCGCCCCGGCGAGCTCCGGCGCCTCCCGAGCGGGCGGGCGCGGCGGGGGCCGGACCCCGTGAGCCCCGCGCCCTGCGCCCCGCGGGCCGCTCGCCGGGGGCTTCGCGGGGACCAGGCGACCGCACAGCCGCCTCGCGGGGGCTCGGCCTCCGGCTCAGGCCGCGCGGGTCTCGGCTCCCGCCGGCGGGTCTGCAGGTGCCCGGCGGGCGGGGCCTCCGGCAGGCCCCGGGTCTGGGGGGGCCGGGCGTGGGGCCCCGTGTGACGCAGACCCCCAAGCAGGCCCCGAGGCCGGGGCTGGGGCAGCTGCACTTCAGGAGCCCGGACGCCGGGCGGGAGGCGCCCTGCGGCTCCTCGTCCCGCCGGACTCCCAGCCCGCGGGGCCTGTCGGGCGCTCTGGGGCGGGCAGAGACTCCTGGCTTCCAGGACCCCACTTCCCTCCGCCCCAGCCCTGGGGCCGCTCATCGTCCGCTGTGTCCTGCCACCACCGGTGTTTCTCCAGGCCCCTTGGCTCCCCGGCAGCCCCCACTCTGCAGCTCCACGCTCACCCTTGGCCCCCGCGAGCCCCCCCCCGCGGGGCCTGGGGGCCAGTTCCCTGCTCCTCTCCCGCACCCGCTGCCCACACGTCGCGCACTCCCTCCAGAAGGCGTCGTCTCGTGGGGGCCGAGGGGCGGCTGGCAGCCCAGCCAGCACCCCACCTCCTTGCATGGCCTCTGTCTCCGGTGCCGCATGTCCAAGCCGGGCCCGCTGAGACCAGTCGCCCTCCAGGCCCGGAGCGTGGTGGGCGGGGGCGTCTGTGAGCAGGGCCCGGGCGCGCCTCAGCCAGCGGGCGCCCCTTCCGCCGCTCCCCCCCGCGTGTGCCGACTTTAAATGCCCCAACTGGGGCTGCACAGCGCCCCACTGACTTGCCAGCAGAACACAGCCGCTGGGGCAGCCAGGGAGGGCCACGGGCAGGCCGTGGCGGGGGTGCGTCCACGCGCCCCAGCAAGGCGAGTTTGCGGACTCTGGCAACGTCTTCCGTTTTCCTCTTTACTCTTTGCCCCCACCCCGGCCGCCCCTTGACCGCGCCTGGCCACCCCCCGGCCCGCGCGCCTGTGTTCGTGCACGTGGGCTGCACACCTGCCAGCACCGTCTCAGCCCCGGCCCGGGCCACTTGTGCCGGCTCGAGACAAGAGGGCCCTGACCACCAGCCCTGACCATCCAGTGAGGCCTGCAGGGTGTCCAGAAGGGCAGGGCTTGGCTTCCCTCCTCCACCCCAATGTCTCTGTTCCTCCCCGGAGCCCCCAGGGCCGCGGGCGATGTCCCTCCGGAATGTTCCGTCGTGCCAGGGTGCTGGGTTCCTCAAGCGGCTTCTCCGCCTCCGCCGGGCGGACCGTTCAGCTGGGGCCCATCACAGCGGCAGTGGCCACGTTCTGCCCCAGCTGAGCCAGCCCCGGGCCTGCAGGGCCACCTGGCGCGGGCCTCCCTGTCTGGCATGTCCGGAGGCGCCGGGCAGCCTTCCCGCCGCGTGAGGAGCCGGGGCCTCGGCGCTGATGCCCGTGGAGTCGGCAGACCCCGCCGAGAGGCCGCGGGCCAGGACTCGTCGGCCGGGCGCCTGTGCGGGACGACTCTGTCTGGCCGCACGTCTTGAGGCCGTTTCTTCCTGAACAGTCTGCGTCCTCAGGACCCCCCTCGCCTGAGCCCGTCTCTGCTGGAGCACACCCCTGGGGGGGCGCGGGGCGCACGTGCCTCCCTCGGGCCCGGGGGCTGCGCCGTCGGGCTCACGGGCATCTCCAGACAGGACGCGCGGCGAGTTGCGGCTCACCCCCGCCCTCCCGGCCCGGCGCCCGGCTTTCCCCGCGTGACGGAGACCCCAGGGCCGCGCCCGCCGCCTCATGGGCCCGTTTATGTTTTCCATTTTGTTTTCGTTACAACTTGCCTTTCAGAGCTCCGAGCAGCACATCAAACGCGCTGTTGCCCGGAGCAGGGCCCAGGGTCGGGGCGCGGCAAGAGCCCGCCTCCGCGAGCAGGACGCAGCGGGTGCCGCGGGGTGCCGGTCATCAGGGGTGTCACTGCCCGCCGGCCGCCTCCGAGTTTGCGGGCCCGGCCTGCGTGGTCACCCGTGGCCGGTCGTCTTCCCTTCTGCGCCTTGGTTATGGGGGTGCCTGACTAATGCCGCCCCGTCGCGCCTCACGCTCACACGCGCTCAAGCACACACTCCCCTCACACACACTCACACTCCCCCGCACACGCCCACACACTCGAGCACACACGCTCACGCGCACAGGCGCGAGGAGGCCCACACAGTCCCCTTCAGAGCGTGTCTGTGTGGCTTGGCGAAAACGGTCCTCGGCGAAGCACAGCGTGGGGGTGCCCTGGGGAGGGGCCCGAGCGCCCTTGTGCCCCGATGCGGCCCTGAGGGCCGCTGCTCCCTTCTCCTGGCAAGGACAAGGCGGCTCAAGGGGGGCCGAGACCCGCACGCCCAGGGACCCACGCATGGCGCAGCCCCCCCCCGCCGCACCTGAGGCTGCTGCAGAGCCCAAGCCCGAGGCCGGGCCGGCAGGTGGGGGGGCAGAGCACGAGGGGGTCCCCCGGCAGGCCCAGGCCGGCCAGCGCGGTGGGGTCAGAGCCTGGGCGGCCGCCACCCCCACCCAGCACGGCGGCCCCACGGCCGGCCCGGCGGCCCAGCAGGCCACAGAGAAGGGTCCTCCGGGGGGACAAAGGCGGCAGCTGGCAGGTGCCCAGGCCTCCCAGGGCGCCGCCAGACGGGCAGGTGGGCCGGGCGGGGGGACGGCCAGCGGCCGTCCGTCAAGCTGAAGGCTCCTCATTTACATTCCAGCAGGAGGGGGCTCAGGCAAGGAGTGGGGCCTCCGCGGCTGCTCCTCGGGAGCACGTTGGGGGGGTCCCTGAGAATGCGGGGAGCAGGCCCTCTGTGACTTCCCCAGGGGGCTGCAGAGCACGTGTTTTAGGGGCCAGAGCTGCAGTTTGAATGTTGGGGGCAGCGCGGATGCCCCTGAGCTGCCCGCGGCCGGCTGGGGTGCAGGTGGGCCTGCTGTGCCGCCACCCAAGCCCGTGCACAGTGTTTCAGGAGAGAACAGCGCGGGGCTGCTGCCCTGCCCCCCCAGCCCCAAGCCAGTACTGCCCTGCCCCCCTGGGCCGCAGCACAGCCTGCCCCGGGGCCTGGCCCTGGGAGGCCTCGGAGCTGCTGTGGCCGGGACCCACCTCTGGGCGTCTGCGGGCAGCTCCTCTTTCTGCGGGCTCGGGCCCAGCGCGGCCCCCACGGCCCCAGGCCCACCCCCGGGCCCCGCCAAACAGCGGCAGCTGCCCCGTCTGCCGCCCAGAGCCGGGGACGTCAGGGGTGACAGCCGGCGGCGGCCAGGCCGTCGCCAAGCTCAGCACTGGCTCATGAGGCCCTGGCACCCCGTGTCTCGCTGCGCCCACAATGTGCTGGCGGCTTGAAGGACACGACTCGACGTCACCTGGACAGAGCCAAGCTGTCCCCGTAAGAGCGGCCGGAGCCAGGGAGAGCGCTGGCCGCGGGGTCCTGAGCCCGTGCCCGCTGCGCCCTGCACGGGATGGCAGTGTGCGGGGGGGTCTTCCCAGAGGCGGCTGAGGTCAAGTGGGGGTACAGGGGCTCTGACCCCAGGCCCGTGACCCCTAAGAGGAGGGACCAGGACCCACACACGCACAGAGGGGCGGCCCGAGGACGCGGGGAGGGGGCGCATCAGCCACGCCCCGCAGAGGCCCCAGGGCCCGGCCCCCACCTGGACCAGGTGACTCTGGGGAGACAGACTGGCACCGGCATCGGCTGCGGGAAGACGCGCCCTGAGGATGCAGAGGAGACCCCGAGATGGTGGGCGGG